AGGTCCCATAGGAGCCGCGATACTAAGCCTCAAGTGGATCAACTGCAGCCTCAAGAACCCCGTCTGAGATCGAGACCTCCGAGGGCCCGTCGCTGCAGCTCACCGTAGTTTCACCAGCGATGCGCAAGTGCCATCTCGAGGCGGCCTGGATGGCGAGCCTCGAGAAGAGAGCGGCCGCCAAGATGGGACTGCCAGAGGATAGGATCGACGTCGCAGCCGCCAAGCAAGGTTTGGAGGCCGCCATCTCCTCATCATGCGAACATGGCAGCCTGTTGTCATGTCTTACCCACTGCCGGTGGACCAAGACCAGAGACTCGCGGCCGCAGGATACGGCATTGACGCGACGTGCCCGCGCGGCCACGGCAGAGACGACATGGCGCACAGGTTCGGGTGCCCCCTCATCTTCAGCCTGAAAAGTGAGTTGTTGACCCTCCCAACATGTAGATTATCTAGAAGGGTGCCCCCAAGCAGCTCCCCTCGCCCACGGTTTTCAATGTCAGCCTCAAGCCTGCGTCGCGCGCCCGGAAGGCGTTTTTTCAGTTTCTGAGAATTTGGGCCCCGAAACGGCGCCGTGGCCAGGGCCGGGGAGGGTTTTGTCGACGGAAGCTGTTTTGAACAAGGGCCCCCTCTCTGGCATCAGACTGGATGGCCGTTGCAGTGATAGACGAGAACGGCGAGTGCATGGCGCGCATCTCGGGTCAGACGGGAGATTTGCTGCCCCCGACCTCGCCAGCCGCTGAGCATGTTGCCGTGGCCGCGGGCCAGATTTGCCCCATCCTGATCTGCCTCCGCTCAGACCACTTTGGGCCCATCACGAAATCTGGCCTAGCGGATTTCGATGGGACGAATATGCATGTGGGGTTGGAGCTGTTTGCTAAAAACAAACGTAGCGCGGGGACCCCTCCCTAGGATCTGCAAAGTCAAAGCCTACCCACCAGAACGTAGACCCCCTCCCCCCAAGGGCCCAGGGAAAAGTTTCTGGCCATGGGCGGTGACACCGCAGAAAGACTTGCCAAAGCCGCTGCCGCGAAAACTGGAGGACCTTCGCCCACGGAGACCCAGGCTCATGATCAAAACCGCGTTTTTGCTGGTCTGTTTTTAAAGTTTCCTGCGAAGGGTTTGCCAACCTGGCCCGCGATCGCCCCGAAACCTGGCAGCAAGGTCCGCGCGAGGCCTAGTTGCAAGCCCGCCAGCAAGCCCCTGGCGGGCGCCGCCGTCATCGCCCCCCCCCTCTCCCGCCACAGTCCTGCGACCCTCCCGGGGCCCCCGGGCTCGTGGCTGGTGACCCCGTTGAGGGCGCCAAGAGCGAAGGCGCCGCCCACCAGTGTCTGAGGGCCTCTGGATGCGCGAGCCCTGCAGGGTCAGAGCACGTTCCAAGGCCGCCCGCGCGAGGAGAGACGCCCCAAAGGTGCCCGGGACATTGCGCCAGTCTTTCCTCTCTCTCTCTCTCTCTCTCTCTCTCTCTCTCTCTTTTTCTCCCTGCAGCGAAACGGCCGCGACGTATGCGTGTTCGATGACCTCGGTAATGACAGCTGTGCTTTAGCGTGCTGGGCTTGAGGCGCTTAGGGTGAATTCTAGACGCTTCGCGTACCCCCACCAGCGCATCTCAGTTGTGGAAGGTTCTCCTGCCTACCACTTCCACACCCTGGATGCGTTCTGGCGTCGCGACTTTGATCCGCCGTCAGGCTCTTCCGCTGGACTTGTGTCCCCAGACAGTCTGTGTTACCCGTCAGACTCCCTGGATCGACGTCCTCGGAACCGTTCCTACTTGTTCGTATCCGAACTGCTGGGAACGCCTCACGCGCCATTTTGGCTGCGCTCGGCTTCCTCGGTGCCTGTCTTCAGACTCCCTGGATGCGCCGTTGCATGTCTCGTTCAGGGGCTGTTCTGCAGACTCCCTGGATTGCACGCTGGCTCTGACGCCCTGGGACGCTGCTGCTTGCCGCCTGACCGCGGCCTCGCGCGCGCCCGCCGTTAGTCGCGGCCGCAGCCCGCCCGCGACCGCCCGCCGCTGGCGCTTCCGCCTGCGGCTGTAAAACAAAAAAAATACCCCCACCAGCCCATCCTGAAACAACGCCCACAGGAATTGCCTCGATAAGGGAAGTGAGCAGCACACAGAGGAAGGGTCCCCCAGTGGAGGCATCTCGGAGATTATTGGTGGCCCCGTGGCGGTCCCGGACGCCTCTTAGAGCGTTTTGGGTGTATCGGAGAGTTTCTTGGAGCCTTTTGAGGGACTCTTGGGGGCCTCTTGGAGGCCTCTTGGTCGCCTCCAGGGGCCTCCTGGGCGCCCCTTGGGGCCCTCCTGAAGCGCGATCGGGAGCCTTGGGAGTGCTCTCGGAGTTATCTTGGAGGACATCGATCAAACAAGAGGGGGGCATTGATTAGCGTTGCCCCTCGGGAGCCCAAGCAGTCGCCTCTTGGGGCGCTTTTGGAGCGCTCTTGGGCGCTTCTGGGGCCGTCGTTGGGCTGTCTTGGGCCTCTCTCTTAGGCCATCTTGGAGCCATCTTGAGGCATCGGATGGCCATCGGAAGCAAAAAGGCGAGAAAGCCAAACAACTTGAACTTTCCTTCGGTGTTGGAAGGATTTGGGCCTCGTCGGGGCCTCCTGGGGGAGCTCGTTGGCCACTTGGAGCCGTCTTGGAGCGGTCTTGGGGCCTCTTGGAGCATCGTGGGAGCCATCTTGAGGCATCTTGGGATATCTTGAGCCACCTTGGAGGTCATCTTGGGCTCTCCCGGGCGCTCTGGGAGTCATCTAGATCAGTGCCCCCCCCCCAGGAGGCCAACATGTGGCGAAAATTTGAGTAACAGCAGTGATTTTAGCATTCTCGCCGAGGCCCCTTGGAGCATCTTAGGTGCCTCTGGGGGCGCCTCGTAGGGGGTCTCTTGGGAGCCTCTTGGGGGCATCCTGGGGGCCTCTTGGGGGCCTCTTGGGGCCTCCTCGCCACCTCTCGGGGCCCTCTTGGGGCACCCTTGGGTGCCTTCGGAGCGCTCTTGGGGCCATCTCGGAGGAGATCGATCAAAGAAGAGGGGTACTTCATTAGGCCCCCCCTCCAGGAGGCCAGAAAGGGGCCAACACCTTAGCAAAACCAGCGGTGTTGGCTTCCTCGCAGAGGGCATTTTGGACGCTCCAACAACCCGTGGAACCCACCGTCCAGGTCCAGGGGAGGGGGTCGGGGAAGGGGTCAAGGCACTCTCCAGATAGCAAGCCGTCTAGCTCACTCCCACCCGCCCTCCCAACACATAAGTGACACCCGAGCCTCAGCATGTTCCGCGGTCGTCTTTGGGTGGACAGCTATTGAGAGCCAAAGCCGAGCCCATGTGCGCGACGCTGGGGCGAGGTGCGCCACGCGTGCCAGGCGCGCCACGCGCGCCAGGCATTCCTGGGGCCCGAGCGTGCTAGGCACGCCTAGTGTGCCAGATGCTCCCTCCAGCCGCGCCAGGTGCACCACGTTCGGGGCGCGTGCAGAGTGTGTCAGGTGCGCCTGCGCACGTGACAGCACACATCGGGAAACATGTCAGCCCCCACCATCCATGTCGAAAACCAATGCCCATCGTTGTGTCTGGTGGGCCTGCGCACAGCAGGCCATACGCCACCACCCCCGCCGTTCCTGACAAAAGCCACTTGGCAATGATCGCGGGGTGACCGCGCACTATCTACATTTAGCTGCGAGGTGCATTTTGTATTTTGTTTTTGTCAGAGATGGTAGCCCTGCGCGCAGCAGGCAATCTGCTGACAACCCCGCCGTCCCTGCCGAAAAAACGTACAAAGTGCCCGCGGGCCTCACGAACATGACTCCGGACTTTGCCCCAAAGTGTACCGTGAATTGTTTTTTGACAGTGATGTTGGGGGGGGCGCATCGGGTTGGCTGCGCACGCTCCGAATTTGGAGGCAGCGTGCGTTTTGTATTGTTTTTGCAGGGGGGGGGGCTCATGTTGTGCGCATGGTTCTGGGTTGGCTGCCGTCCGGACGGGGGAGGGGGCGTTTATTAATAGGGAACAGTGATGAGACCCTCCCCGAAGGGGAAGAGGGGGGTTGGAAGAGGAAGCTCCCTAGACCACCTACGCCCTAAAGGGCTGGTGGGATTCTAACACAAGGCTTTCAAGAGCGAATGCCCTGGGTGCCTCACCAGTAATAATAAGACGTACGCCCTAAAGCGTTTTGAGACCTGCCGCCGCCCCAAGGGAGGCATGACAAGCAGGCCCTGTTTTGCCGACCCCATCACCCGGGATTCCATGATCAGAGAAGCGCAAGTTGGCGCTTGTGGAGATACAGTAAGGCAATTCACCGAACTCAGTCAGATGCTCTGGTCCCACTCCTCCTCGGACGTGTCCTAGGTGAGGCACCGCCCCTCGGACGTGTCCCAGGTAGGCACCCACCGCTTGTGGGTGTCAGGACACTCCTCCTCCTCCTCCTCCTCCTCCTCCTCCTCCTCCTCATCATCATCATCATCATCATCATCATCCCGTTCCTCCTCCTCCTCCGCCTCATCCTTCTCCTCATCACCCCATTCTCCTCCTCACCCCTTCCTCCTCCTCCTCCTCCTCCTTCTCCTCCTCCTCCTCCTCATCATCATCATCATCATCATCCTCATCCTCATCCTCATCCTCATCCTTATCCTTATCCTTATCCTTATCCTCCTCCTCATCCTCCTCATCATCATCCTCCTCCTCCGCCTCATCCTCATCCTCCTCACCCCATCCTCCTCCTCCTCACCCCCTCCTCCTCCTCCTCCTCCTCCTCCTCCTCCTCCTCCTCCTCCTCCTCCTCATCATCATCATCATCATCATCATCATCATCATCATCATCATCATCATCATCATCATCATCCTCATCCTCGTCCTTATCCTCCTCCTCCTCCGCCTCCTCCCCCTCCTCCTCCTCCTCCTCCTCCTTCTCCTCCTCGTCCTCACCCCCTCCTCCTCCTCCGCCCCCTCCTTCTCTTCATCGCATGACAGGCTCCAGCGGAGCAATAGACGCACAGCGGGCCACGCGAGCGCGCCATGCAGGAGGGCGGCGCCCAGGAGGGCAGCGCCCGGGAGGGCGGCGCCGGGGAGGTCGAGCCGCAGCCGCCAGGGCCGCCGCCGCGCGAGGCCGAGTGGCGGCCCCTGTGCGAGCGGCCGCCTGGGCGGCCTCGAACGGAGGGCCAGCTCCGAGGGCGCTTCGGAGGACACGCGGGGCCGTCGGAGGGCCCTCTCGGAGGGCCTGAGTCTCAATAGTTTGCCTCTGCGAGACCGCCTGGGGCGTTGGCTGGACAGCCTTGCCCGGTTCGATTCCTGCTGTGGGTCTCCCTCGGCTGCCCCTGCATCCTGGCCCCTTGGGCCCGTCTTTCGCTGGCCAGCCCCGCTCGAAAACGTCAACGTGGCCCTCCAAGGCCCTGGAAAGGAGGACAATCCATGCGGAAAGAGGCCAGAGCTCATGCGAGAATTCATGCGAGTACCCATGCGAGTATGTTGCGCATGGACAGCGGCGGTCAGCAACGAGCAACCGGCAACACAAATCCATGCATCGCCCTTGCAAGATGTCCTGCAGGACTCCTATCATTATTCAACCTACTAGGAATGCTAGGACGGCCAGTCCCTGCTCAAGTCCATCGGCACGAACGAAATTAGTACGGGAAGAAAGGGTACAATGCCCAACAGCAGTTCCTGTTCATGTTGATCAGGACTCGCTGTCCGCGCCGCCGCGGCCTGTGTCCGTTTGGGACAGAAGGCCGCCTGCCCAACAGCGGCCGCTGTTGGTTTGGGACAGCATTTGGTCTTGGGCATTGTACCCATTTTTTCCGTACCAATTTCGGGCGCCCACGGTCCACGGTTGGCGCGGGCAGGGCTTGGGTGTCGCCGCCCTGGCGGCGGCGGGCCTGCGGGAGGCCACCGCCTCGAGATCGGGCCCTCTCCCTTCTCTGCGGGGCCCCGCCCTCCCTCGAAGAAGGAACAAAAAAAGGCAATAAACACAAACCTTTGGCGCTCCGCGCGGATTTCTTGGATCCGCTGGGCCCCCCCTGGCGGCGCCATCGGCGCCGCCCTTGGCGCGCTCCGCGCGCCAAGGGGCGCCCACGTCGTCAACTGCTTTCAACAGAGGAACATCAAAAGGCATACACATAAACTTTCGCCGTTCGGCGCGGATTTCTTGGATCCGCGCTGGACCCCCCTCCCTGGCGCGCTCCGCGCGCCAGGGCGGCGCCAGAGGCGCCGCCGGGGGGGCCCCAGCGCGGATCCAAGAAATCCGCGCCGAACGGCGAAAGTTTATGTGCATGCCTTTTGATGTTCCTCTGTTGAAAGCAGTTGACGATGTGGCCGCCCCTTGGCGCGCGGAGCGCGCCAGGGGCGGCGCCAGAGGCGCCGCCAGAGGGACCCCAGCGCGGATCCAAGAAATCCGCGCGGAGCGCCAAAGGTTTAGGTTTATGGCGTTCTCTCTTCTTCTACTCCGTGCCCCTCAGGTGGCCGCGGCTTGGCGCGGCCCGGGTGGCTGGCCAGGCTTTTGTCCTGTAGAGTGGTCTTCGCGGAGGCCCAGGGGCCGACATCTCGAGCGGCAGTGCCCCTCCGCAGGTCCGCGCGGCCTCGGTAGGCGACGCGGGGCTTCTTGGGGTCGAGGGCCCTCCGGGGGCCTCGTGTCGGGCCAAAGGGCCTGCTTGCAGGAAGACAGTCATCGGGTTGGGAGGATGAGGCTGGGAGAAATGAGGATATCATTGCCCGTAGGCGGTCGAAGGCATCGCGCATCGCATCCGGATGTTATCGCTCATGCCATTCGTCCTCCCAATCCCTTCCTCCCAACAAGATACTTGTTTTCCTCATGCATGCAGCCACAATGCTGACTGGGACGATCGAAACGGGTACTCCAGATTGGCATGGCCTCCGGCCAGTGCCGCCGATCCAGGGCGCTCGGGATGATGATGATGATGATGATGATGATGATGATGATGATGATGATGATGATGATGATGCTGATGCTGATGATGATGATGATGATGATGATGATGATGAGGCTGATGCTGATGCTGATGCTGATGCTGATAATGATGATGATGATGATGATGATGATGATGATGATGATGATGATGATGATGATGGTGGTGGTGGTGGTGGTGGTGGTGATGCTGATGCTGATGCTGATGCTGATGCTGATGCTGATGATGATGGTGGTGATGATAATGATGATGAGGGTGGTGATGATGATGATGATGATGATGATAATGATGATGATAATAATATGATGGTGATGATGATGATGATGATGATGATGATGATGATGATGATGCTGATGCCCGTCATCCTCCCAAGTCCTTCCTGCCAACACGATATGTGTTTCCCTCATGCATGCAGCCACGATGCTGACGGGGAATTTGGAATCGGGTACTCCAGATGTCTCTGGAGGCAGGAAAAGGGTGTAGCATAAAGAGGTATGGTGCAAATCGTGGAAATGGCGATGCTGTCTGCGATAACTAATATCGCAAGAGTCCCCTTTACATGACATGAACACCACACCCCCTTTATACCATACCCCTTCTCCTACCTCCAGGATGTCGACCCTCCCAGACGAGCAGTGCCTGACCCCCCCCCCCCCGCCAGGCCAGCCATGAACAGGCGGCCGTCTGCCCAGGCCCCCCCTGAACCTCCAAGACAGCTCACATCGGACCCCATCCCCCCCATGTGACCCCCCACACTTTACGATGGAATCCGGAGTGCGGAAATAATGGGCACAAAGTCCGACAGCAAGTCTGGTTCATTCTGAGCAGGGTTCGCTGTTGGCGAGTCCGCGGTCGTGGCCCATATGAGACAGAAGGGCCGCCTGCCCGACAGTGGCCGTTGTCGGTTGTGGGCGGATTTTGTTTTGGGCATCGTGCCAATTTTGTCCGTACCCGCTGCGGGCGACCAGAGCTGAGACAGCGACCACTCCAGGGGTCGACCTCAACGGTGTTTCAGCGATGTCTTGGGTCGTTTTCGTTTCAAATTCGGCTTGCAGCAAAATGCGGATTGAAGACACCACGAGGGAAAATGAAGACATAACGAAAACAGAAATCATTGTTCAGGCCGAGCCCGGAGACAACGACCACGCTGGGCTCAGGGTGGGGAGCTCTGGCGTTCTTGGCATCCCTGATGGGGTCGGAGTAGATGGGGTCGGAGGATGGCGCCATATCGTCGATGCATCGGCGATGCGGCCCGATGTGGAGCCCGATTTTCTCCACGATGGCGTCGCCGATGCATCGCCGATGCATCGGCGATGCGGCGCGATTCTTCGACCCCATCGACTCCGACCCCATCCTGGAGGCCTCCAGACTTAAGTCGGGCGTGTCCCTCTACACGAGCAAAATTCAAGAATAGTCCAAACATTGTCTGGGGACGATGTTTTAGTATTTTTTGATCATGTTTAAATTTTGTTTGACCATCATTTTTTTTGTCGTCCAAAATCCGCCTGTAGGGGGACGTGCCCGATCTAACTCCAGGCGTGCGGGGCCGCTTCTCAGATCCTGGGGAGTCCGGAGCCTGCTCTCTCACAGTGCCGCGGCTTGCCCGCTGCCAGAAAAGAGCCGCTCTTGCGTGCCTCGTGCACGGCGCGCCCGGCCAGGAGGCCGTGCTCTAGGCCTCATAGATGGGGTCGGAGTAGATGGGGTCGAAGGATCGCGCCGCATCGCCGATGCATCGACGATGCGGCCCGATGCGGAGCCCGATGTCTCCACGCCGACGTCGCCGATGCATCGCCGATGCATCGCCGATGCGGCGCGATCCTCCGACCCCATCTACTCGGACCCCATCCAGGAGGCCTCTCGTGCAGCGCGCCCGGCCAGGAGGCCGTGTTTCGCCAGGACTCGGACAGTGCCCCGGGGGGTCACCACCTGGGCAGGATCGGGGTTCGAGGGGGGGCCACCTCCTCGAGGAAGCTGGACTCTCCTCGAGGAAGAGTCAGCTCTTCTCGAGGAGTTGAGGCTGTTTGCTCTTGGGGGGTGTACTTCCTTGAGGAAATTGATTCTTCTCGACGAAATCGGTTCTTCTCTAGAAAGCCGATGCTTCTCGAGGAATTGGGGTTGTTTGTTCTTGGGAGACCACTCCCTCGAGGAAAGACTGACTATTCTCGAGGAAGTGGCGACCCCGCTAGTGGCGACTCGCCGTTTCAGGCGATCGCAAACATGGATCGAGGGGGCGTGGAGTAGCGACGGGTCCCGTTTCCATGGGACATTGCGGATTCCCGCCGCCGAGCGAGGTGGCACCGGCCGCATTTTGGGGAGGGCACCTCCCCCGATCCAAGGATTTGGCGACCGCGCGCCAAATCCATGGATCGCTAATTCATGTCTTTGCGCGCCCCCGACCGACCCTTGGCATCGCCCCACAGACCCAGGGATCCGGTTCGATCCAAGCGATCCGGTTCGATGCCGATCTCGGTGCTGGCCAGCCCGATGCGGCTCTGCCCCGATCGGCGCCCCGTGCCGCTGCGGGCCGAGGCGGCGCACGCTGCGACCCGATCCGGTGTCCTGCCTCGATGCTCACGGGTGCTGGGTTTTTGGGCCAGGGCTGGACCTAAACGGTGTGTTGCTGGACTTCGGCTGTGTTTTGTTTCTCGTGTTGGGAGGGAGGTGCAGGAATGCATGTAGAGCAGAACGAACAACGAAACGAAACATAAAGGACAACAACGTTATAGGTCCAGCCCTGGTCTGGGCCAAAACACGGGCTCACGGATGCGAGGTGGGTGTGGGCAGCTGCTTCTGCGGTCATCGGGGGGCCCTTGGGAGAGCCGTGGACACGAGTCCGCAGAGGCCCGGCCCCCTCACAACACATTCAGCCCCTTATCAATTCCCGCGCCTTCTCTCCAAACCTTCACTCCTGCTCGCTCCTCCTCCTGTTCGTCATCCTGTTCCTCCTCCTCCTCCTCCTCCTCCTTCTCCTCCTCCTCCTCATCATCCTCCTCCTCTCCCTCCTACTCATCCCTCCCCCTCACTCCACCAACCTTCACACCTACTACCTCCTCCTCCTCCTCCTCCTCCTCCTCCTCCTCAAGCTCCTCCTGATCC